ATGGCATTGTCGTCTTGGGACATGTCAACAAGAAACGCATAGCCCAACTCCAAAAGGATGGAGTGTTGGAGTCATTCGACCTTAGGGAAGATGACACATGCGAGTCTTGTTTACTTGGAAAGATGACTAAGTCACCCTTCCGGTACGTGCGAAAGGAGGTGAGGGTCTATTGGAACCTCATACATACCGATGTGTGTGGACGTTTAGATCTACCACGAAGGATGGAAACCGCTTCTACGTGACTTTTACCGATGACTATAGTAGATATGGGTATATCTACTTAATCAAGCAAAAGTCAGAAACTTTTGAAAAGTTCAAAGAGTTCAAGAATGAAGTGGAGAATCAATTGGGCAGGAAGATCAAGATGCTTCGATCCGATTGAGGAGGAGAGTACCTAAGTCTTGAATTTCACGATTATCTCAAGGAGTGTGGAATAGTTTCACAATTGACGCCACCTAGGACACCACAATTGAATGGTGTGGCAGAAAGGCATAATCAAACCTTGTTGGACATGGTTCGCTCTATGATGAGTCGTGCTTCGCTATCTATCTCTTTCCGGGGGTATGCCTTAGAGACTGCCGCCCATATCCTTAACCGAGTCCCTACCAAGAAGGTTGCCAAAACACCTCATGAGATGTGGATGGGGAAAGCTCCTTCGTTAGCACATATCAAGGTTTAGGGTTGCGAGGCTTTCGTAAGACGAGATACTCACGACAAGCTTGAACCTCATAGTGAGCGATGTCTTTTCATCGGCTACCCCCAGAAATTCTTTGGATATCTCTTCTATAGACCGAAGGACAATGTTGTCTTTGTTGCGAGGAGAGGAGTTTTCCGAGAACGAGAACTCATAGGCCAAGGAGAGAGTGGGAGGCAAATCGATCTTGAAGAGATTCATGAGTCGATAGATGAAGGAACCTCTACCGCTGGTGCTCAACCCGACGAGGAAACTCCGGTTGAACCGATTGACATATCATTACCTCTTAGACGTTCCGAAAGAGTTAGAGTTCAACCCCAGTTGTATGGTTTTCATATTACTACCGAAGGGGACACGTATATTAGTGATAGTAAACTAATAAACCTTGATGAACCTAATAGCTATAAGGAAGCCATGGCAGGCACGGAGTCTGCGAAATGGAAAGAGGCAATGGATAGCGAGATCCAATCCATGTATGATAACCAAGTTTGGAATTTGGTTGATAATGTACCTGGATGTAAGACCGTTGGGTGCAAATGGATCTTCAAGAAGAAGACCGACGTGGATGGAAAGGTGCACACGTATAAAGCGTGATTGGTTGTGAAGGGCCTTACTCAAACTCCCGAAGTTGACTATGAAGAGACCTTCTCACCAGTTGCGAAGATAAAGTCTATTAGAGTGATGCTAGCTATTGCCGCATTTCATGATTATGAGATTTGGCAAATGGATGTCAAGACCGCTTTCCTTAACGGGAAGTTGGCTGAGGATGTTTACATGGCTCAGCCAGAGGGGTTTGTGGATCCAAAGCATCCGAATAGAGTGTGTAAGCTTGAGAAGTCCATTTATCGTCTAAAGCAAGAATCTCGCAGATGGAATCTTTGCTTCGATGAGAAAGTCAAAGAGTTTGGATTTGTACGAAGCGAAGATGAATCGTCACTACTAGAAAAACAGCCTTTTACGACGCTCATTGCGCGTCATAAAACGCTCAGACGACGCGCAAATGCGCGTCAAGGAAGGCCCTGTCATAAAGAGAGACGACGCGCTTTTGCGCGTCGTCTATAGACGACACACATTTACGACACGCATTTATGACGCGTATTTACGACGCACGGTTATGACACGCAGTGCGTATCAAGGAAGGCCCTGTCATAAAGGAAGAAGACACGCATTTACGTGTTGTAACCTTACGACGCGCGTGTTTATGACACGCAATGCGTATCAAGGAAGCCCCTGTCAAGAAAGGCCATGTCATAAATGAAGACGACACACATTTTTGCGTATCGTAATTTTAATTTTTTCGTAAAAAAAATTGGTTATATATTTACTGATTTTCAAATTAAATTTGCATTTCATGTATCATAATAAAAAATAAAATACCATATACAAAAAATACAATACATTGCACAAAAGTTAATGTCATACAAATAATCATTCTAATACTAGACAAATGTAATACATCAACTAATCATTCCAATAGTAGACAAATGTAACATTTCAACATTTTTTATATAATTAACTAAATTATTAGCCAAATTTCCTAAAATACCAACATACTTTTCTATGAAGAGCATTAACACTATTCTTTTCCATCAAAAACTTCATAACCTGCATAATTAAATTAATGTGTAATCAGCTATAGAAATTTGTGTGAGCATATGGCAATAGAAAGAGAACATGATAATCAGAAACAGAAATTTTTGGCATTGAAAACCATCAGAATAATTGGAAGTATATGTATACTTCACACGTTGGAGGCGTTGACTTTCTGTCATTTTATAGCAATTTGTCTACTTAATATATAAAGACTCCAATAATAAATAGATATGTTATGTTACCTTGATGCATCTCAGTTGTCCAAAAGTATCCTCAAGTAGGAGCTTTCTTCATATTTGGAAGCCTCTCTGTTCCCCAAATCAATCAATCCACACACAACACAAGTGAAGTGGAGAAAGAATTACATTAAAACTTAACAGTTTCAATCTCTTCAAAATTCAAAATTCAAGAAACTCTGAAGTGTATTGCACTCACTACAGAAGATCCAAACCTGCAATTTTAACATTTATCTGTTCACTTCTACTGTTTCAATGGCTTCAAGATTCAAAATTCAAGAAACTCGTAATATAATACCTTCTTTTGTCTGTAATCTTCAGGCATCACAGTAGCTTCAATCTGAGAATTACAAAACAAACCAACTTATAGAAACGAAATATGATCAAGAACTTGTTGTTTAAAATTAAATTCACAGTCATATAATACCAGTTGATGTATTCAGAAGATTTGATGGCCGACTAGTTGAGAGCATCGTGCCTGTATCAGGGGCAATTGTGGAACATAACGTAAGAATCTTTGGTTGGTTAAACCCATCAAACCATGAACCCTAAAATCCATTCCAGTAAGCTTTCCATTTAGCTCTGGCAGACCTTTCCCACAACCTAATTTTTTTTTTATAAAATATAAAAAGATTTATAAAAAAGAATATAAAAATTTACAATTTCATTTTATATAAGAATAATATATACCTTGGCAGCAAATGACAAGAAACAAGATTTATAAAAAAAGATTTATAAATCTTTTTTTATAAAAAGATTTATAAAAAAGACATAAAGGCCCTCCTAATCCTTATCATCAAATGCAATACAAATGACAAGAAACAAGAATAAGTCTACCTCGCATATTGTTACAACATCTATTTTCAAAGATTTCACAGAAGCATCAACTTCCAAAGCATGTTGTAAGTCCAAGTTTCTATCTTTTTCTACCAACACTTGGACCTAAAAAAACACCCATCAACAACTATAAATTATAATCAATCAAAAGACAACAGATAAGAGTTGACTAATTTAAATTGTCAGTTGACTAACAAGACCATATGAGATTCTTGGTAGGCCAAAAGGGTCATTAGTTGAACTTGGTTGACATCTTGCTCCAAACAACCCAACTAGGCTATCTAACCTACCAAATTCATGAACAAAAAAAAACAATTCAAAATCATCAATTAAGAAAATAATAAAAATAAAAATAAAAAAAAACATTTTACCTATCTAAATCAACGGACCAGCCCTGATTGTATATAATATCCATGATGCCAACTCATGAATAAAAAAATAACAGCTTTTTAGTTCTAGGGGTAAAATAGGAAATTAAGTTTCTTCCTAGTTTTTGTGTTAGAGTCAAACTCATTATGTGTCTAGTATAAATATAGGTCTGTGTTGCATCTTTATTTGTATTCAGAATCTTCTTTGTTTTGCTTATTAAGGAAGAGACTTTGGCACCAAGTAATTATCCTCTGTTCCGGTTTTTTCTTTCCTTTCTTGTTCTTGTTTTGCTTGAGTTTAAAGTAGATCCTTGGTGCAAGTGCAGGCAAGTATGATTGTATGTAGAAAAACACTAATATAAACTTGCTGACCTGATACATCTTGCTTTGATGCAGCATCTACATCATCGGTTAATATTGAAGGCTTGTGCATTAATGAAGACAGAAGTTTCTTTGAAGGCATTTCAGGGTTTTCATAGGAAGAGAATGATGCAGAGTAAGATTGAGAAATAACTGAATGGTCAAGTGATTAGGTTCACGTTTGCACACAGTCCATTCACAAATTTCGCAACCTGAAAGAATTACATTACATCCATCCATCAGATGTCTAAATATAACATAAATAAATAAACATCACTTGCAGTTGTAGCTTTTATACCTCAGATGTTGGAATATTTGGAAAAGAGGCACCAAGAAGCTTAATAGTGTACTCTCTCTGTCTCTCACAAACATCCCATTGTTTGGATACGGATATGAAACAGTTGACGTGTCCCACAAAGGCTCAGTTAATGACCTAGATTCCACCTACAATTATTTTCCACATCAACATATATTATACTCCTATATACTTGCATATGATTCAAATAAAAAGTAGACTAGAGATAATATACATACCAGGCAGAATAAGTGCTGCAACACCAACATATGCAGGTTAAATCCCAGTTTATGGAAACTGTCGGTCATCACATCAAATATTTCTTGCACAATCAGCACAAAATAAGCCCGATAAAATTGATTACAAAACTCCGAGTTCCTTGCAATCAAAATCAAATAAAAAATATGAAATAAAACAGATTAAAATAGCGAGGTTTTAATAATGAATTGTAGTAGTAGTAGTGGTACCTGAAAGTTTTTAAGCATCTCCAACTTGTGATAAAATATTCGCTTACTATTACAATAGAAACCTGCAATTAGATAACAACAAGTGTTATAATTGAGTAAACTCATTTACAAATTACTCATTTATGTATAACTAAGCTTCTGTAGACAAATGACTATTAGAAGTAGAATAGAAAACCATGTGTTTCTTAATAAGGATGTCCCGTTCCTTCTCATATAACACAGAGATACTTAATATTTAAAAAAAAATAGAAAATGTGCATAATAGTTTGATACAAGTATGGCTAACATCTTCATTCTATCTGTGAAAATATATCCGTATAATGGGTGATTCAAGCACTCAAAACAAAATTAAAAATTAAAAATGTGAAGTAGAAAAAATGAAACGAACCTGCTGGCCAGTGATGTAAACATTAGTTTCCTTAAACTAGGAGTGGGACCCACTAAGGTCTTCATTAGAGGTGGAATTGGCAGCTGAACCAGGGTTATAACCAGCAGGGGCTGCTGAAGAATATGGTCCATAGCTTCCTTTTTTTATTTAAGCAAGCTTTGAAGCATACTTAAAACGTGGTTGTTAAAGAAAAATGTCTCAAGTAGCGATACCGCCTCCTCATGGCTTCTGACTGTGTGACACTCTCCAATTGCAAAATCTTACCACTAATCCTGCAATTTTGTGAATTTAAGTTTCAAAAGGGAGAAAAAGAAACAAATGAAGAATTTGATTCATGAATATCTATGAAAACTCCAATACCTTCAACTTTTAGGCCCCCCTTTCATAAGTTCAACAACAATACCTTCAACTTTTAGGACAACCTCCGACTTAATATTTTCAATGGAACCAACAACCAAGTTTAACCACAACTATTTTTTTTCCATTTCAAAGCTTGGTCTAGTGAAAACTGGTCTTGTCCAGCACAAATGGTGGAAAGCAACACGAAAATTCCTCTGCAATGATGATAGGCTAGGGTTTTAGAAAGAAAGAAGAAAGGAAATGTTTAGAGAGAGAGAGAGAGAGAGAGAGAGAGCAAAATTAAAAATAAGGTATGGATGATTGTGATCTCCAGAGATGACGTACACTTCTCTAAACCATATCAGGGTGAACCCATACCATCTAGAACTGCAAAACAAAGAAAACGATCATCTTTTTCTTCAAGCCCATAATAAGGTTACTGTATTTTGAAAAGACCTTAAGAATAGTACCACAGCTCCGATGCATCCTCCCCTCGGCCTTAAAATCTCTTCTCTATCTTTCACCTCATGTTTTCTTTTCTTTCCCATTTTCTGTTCAGTCTTGCCGCGCACACACACACCATCTGGGAAGTAGGACGACGTGAACGATGGTGGAAGTGATAGCCGGCGGTGGCTGGTTTAGGGCTTTTTGAAAATATGAGATATTTTCTTCAAAGAGAGAAAGTGGAATCGATGAGAATGTAACCTTCGGTTACTGTATACCAAAAAAACCGATGTAAGCTTGAATGAAAGTAGAATCGATAAGAATGTAGAGAGCCCTAAATTGAAACCTTGTACAGTAGAATCGATTTGAGAGTGAATGTTGGATTTATTGCTTCCATTTCCCGGTTCGCCTACCCTTTAGTTACCCTAGTCGATGGATTCAAGCTTTCACAAAAAACCCTAGGTAGCAACTGATAGAGACAAAAAGGATGGGGCGAAGGTAGGATTAGAACCGATTTCAAAGAGTAACAGTATATTTCACTGAAAACCCTTTCCCGGTTTGCTTGACCATTGGTTACCTCAGTCGATCGATTCAAGCTTTCAATAAAAACCCTAGGTAGCGACTGAGAGAGACAAGAGGGAAAGGAAGGGCACGCAAACAGTTAGGGAAATCAAGAGTGCAATGCTCGTCCTTGTTAGGTTGAAGATGAAAGATAGATAGAAGATAGAAAAAAAAGGCGGGTTTTCAAAATTTTGGGGATTTCATTTCCCCCCTTGTCTACGAAAAGTGCGTTTCATTAAAATTATAAAGCGACAGGTACAGACGACGCGCGTTTAAGATAAAGCGCCCTCCGTGTTTTTAATTTTTTTTTCTTGAGACACTAAATTAAGGGCACGCAATAAAGCGTGACGTAAATACTTAAATTTTTTGGAGAGATAACACTATTTTAAGGGCACGTCCTTTTGCGTATCGTTAATTATCACGTGTCGTAAAAAGCGCGTCATTAAAGGTCTTTTTTCTAGTAGTGCGTGTGTATATGTCAAAGCCAGTGGAAGTGTAGTAAGCTTCCTCGTTCTGTATGTCGATGACATATTACTCATAGGAAATGATGTCCCGACTCTGCAGGAGGTTAAGTCTTGGCTCGGGAAGTGCTTCGCTATGAAGGACCTCGGAGAGGCTTCCTATATTTTGGGAATAAGGATAGTAAGAGAAAGAAGTAAGAAACTAATAGGACTTAGTCAGAATACTTACTTACAGAAGGTACTAAAATGTTTTAGTATGGAAAACTCGAAGAAGGGAGAATTACCGATACAAAGTAATGCCAAATTGAGTAAGACTCAAAGTCCGAGTACCAAAGCCGAGATAGCTGAAATAAGCCGAGTTCCATACGCTTCCGCAGTTGGCTCAATCATGTACACTATAACTTGTACTCGCCCTGATGTAACCTTTTCTTTGAGCATGGTTAGTAGATATCAAGGGAATCCTGGCAGAGCCCATTGGATTGTAGTGAAGAATATCCTTAAGTACCTTCGGAGGATGAAGGAATGGTTCTTAGTCCTCGGAGGGAGTGATGACTTGAAGGTGCGAGGGTATAGTGACGCCAGCTTTCAGACCGACAGGGACAACTACCGTTCGCAGTCAGGTTGGATCTTTACCCTGAATGGAGGAGCAGTGACTTGGAAAAGTTCCAAGCAGGACACCATAGCTGATTCAACGTGCGAATCAGAGTACATTGCAGCGAGCGAAGTGTCGAAGGAGGCAATATGGCTGAAGAACTTCATTAGTGATCTTGGAGTTGTGCCTGCCATAAAGGAGCCCATGGAGATTTTCTGTGATAATGAAGGAGCGGTTGCCTTGACCAAGGAACTGAGAGATCATGGTAGATCACGACATATCGACAGAAAATATCACTTTATTAGACATCGTGTAGAATAAGGACAACTCGTAGTAAAGAGGATATCATCAGAAGATAACCCAGCAGATCCGCTTATGAAGGGACTGAGTAGGGTTAAGCACTTACAACATGCTAGGAGTATAGAGTTGAAGGATGATATTAGCATAGATTAGATAGTATAAGAAACGTGTAATAGATAAATATTGTAATTAACATTTGATGATTAAATAAAGGAGTTTTATTTATAAGTAATGTTACTATCTTATGTTAATTGTTTAACTATTGTTTCACTTTGCATGTTTTGACTTCCAGAATAATTGAGTTTATTAAGAATAATCGAATTGTTCAAATTGTCCACAATCGTTCATATGTCGGAAGTAGATATGAATGAAGATTGTCATGAATAGGTGTGTAGAGTGTCTAAATGGTATCAGACATAGCAAAAGGTTGCTGCAACGTTCATGAGTGCTTATGAACTAGTTTTGAGCATTGGAACAAACCCGTGCTTTCTGGAATCACCTTATGGAATGTGATAGAAAAAAAGGTGATCGCAAGACGATAATATCATATAGTCTTAAAACCTAGATATATGGTTTGTTATTTGTTAATTGATTGTACATTGATAATGCGAAAACGCATTGGTAACTCAATGTTATAAAACGCATTGTTGTGTATAGTTGGTTAATGAATAAGTAAATGCATATAAGTCGAAGTTTATCTGTAACTCTTATCCTAAGAAGGAAAAAGTGATATCTCGGCCGCTCGATGATTTGATTTGACTTATGTGCCGGGCCCGATCAGAACTAAATTGATGTGTTCGATTAAGTTCTATGTCAAATAAATCGAAGATCAAGAAACCAAATGCTAGACTAATCATTCCATAGAATTGTCAGCATGCTATCTAACAGAGGACTGTACGATCTCTTATCTAAAGGACAAGATTGATTAGATCAGAGTTTGACAGCGTCTTTGAGAGCTACGATTGCAAATCGGATTGTACTTGTGCATATAGTTACTAGACTTATCCAAGTGGGAGACTGTTGGAATAGTGTCTAAGGCTACAACTATATTGGTCAAGTATTTGACCCGAATGTGCATGGTCCTTTTGGGTTGCCTTCACCATAGCAACTTGGTAGGATGATTTATTATGAGAGAATAGATATTATTAATATATTATGAGAATAATATAAGGAATAATAATATTGTTATTTGATTAATATAAGTCATAGAGTAATTAGTATTAATTTGGTGACTTAAAGAGATTAATTAAATAAGAGGGTATAAACTGTCAATTGTTTGATAGTTACACTTTAGGCTATGAATCCTTATAGGATATAGGGTGGACGATTTCTAGGGCTAGGATAGGACTAAAATCGTCCAAGGCATATCCAAGGAAAGGATTAGGATTACTTAGAGTCTAAGTTATCCAATTAGGGTTTAAGGGTAAAACCCTAGGAGCCTTTCAAGTATAAATAGACCCCTTGGGATAGGGAAATCGGCACCTCCTCTACAGCATGGAAACCCTGGCCGATTTCCTCCTCTCTCCTCTCTTTCAAATCATTCTCTTTGCTAGTTGGTGTTTGTAAGCCATTAGAGGAGTGAAAATTATGAGTCTAAAGCTCCAAGAACAAGAAGATCAAACAAGTGTTTCAAGGTATGCTTCTAACTCTGGTTTTGTATTGTTCTTATACCTAATTAGCCATTTGAGGTCTTGGATTCAATGCATGTTTAATTATAGAAACCTAGATCCAAGCATTAGGGTTTGTATGTGCACATAGGAATGTTCATATGACTAAAACCCATCAAGGATATCATCAGCTGAAGGTGAGTAAGCAGGATATCGAAAAGACTGCATTCAGAACACGATATGGTCACTACGAGTTTTTGGTTATGTCGTTTGGAATAACCAATGCTCCAGCAGCATTCATGGATTTAATGAAAAGAGTTTGCAATTCGTTCTTTGATAAATCTGTGATAGTGTTCATAGATGACATTCTGATTTACTCGAAAATTCAAGAGGAGCATGGTAGACACTTGCGAGAAGTGTTAGAAGTCTTAAAGAAGGAGAAGTTGTATGCTAAGTTCTCCAAATGTGATTTTTGGATTCGAGATGTCCAATTCTTGGGTCACGTGGTCAACCAAGAAGGGATAATGGTTGATCCAACAAAGATTGAAGTTGTGATGAAGTGGGAACAACCAAAAATTCCCACAGAGATCCGAAGTTTTTTAGGATTAGCTGGATATTACCAATGGTTTATCCAAGGCTTTTCTTCGATCACTACTCCATTAACAGCTTTGAATCACAAAGGAGCTACTTATGCTTGGAGTGATAAGCACAAAGAAACATTCGAGTTGCTAAAGAAGAAGATATGTGAGACACCGATTCTTTCTCTACCCGATGAAGTTGAAGACTTCGCTATCTATAACGATACGTCTGGTGTTGGGTTGGGTTGTGTTTTGATCCATAGAGAAAAGGTTATAAGATATGCGTCTCGACAACTGATAGAGCATGAAAAGAACTACCCCACGCATGATTTGGAGTTGGCAGCAGTAGTATTTTCTCTAAAGATATTGAGGCATTACCTTTATGGCACGAAGTGCAAACTTTTCACTGATTATAAGAGTCTCCAATATCTCTTTAATCACAAAGAATTGAATATGAGGCAACGACACTGGCTAGATTTACTTAAGGACTACGATTGTGAGATACTTTATCACCCCGATAAAGCAAATGTTGTTGCTGATGCTCTCAGTTGGAAAGTCAATCTTGAAAGAAGAAGGCCAAGAGCGTTGAGAATAGAGGTTGTCTCGACAATTGTGGAAAGTATAAAGAAATCTCAAGAGGAAGCTTCTGAAAAGAATGACCGGAAGGAGGAACGTCTGGGCAAAACGTTGGTGTTTGGAACAAACGGTCATGGACTGAAGGTATTCCAAGATCATATTTGGGTACCTAAGTCAGGAGGAGTAAGAGATCTTCAGAGGATTGGGAACCAAGCTTACAAGCTCGAATTGCCCGAAGAACTGAATTGAATTCATAACACTTTCCATGTGTGTTATTTGAGGAAGTTCACGGGAGAATTTCCCGACATAATTCCAATTTCTGAGTTAAAAATTGATGAGAACAAAAGGTTAATTGAAGAACCAGAGGCAATCGTTGACCAAAAGACTAAGAAGTTGCGACACAAGATGGTCGAATTAGTTCTTGTCCGATGGAAACATACAAATGGACCAAATCTAACCTGGGAGACGGAGAGTGACATGATGAGTCGCTATCCGCATTTGTTTGTTGATGTGTGATTCCGAGGACGAAATCATCCTAAGGTGGAGAGAATTGTAACGCCCATGTTTTTGGGATAGGCATTAATGACGATGTAATAGTCTAGGTTAACCTTTGTAACTCATTTTGAAATAATAAGAATGTATTATTTGAGTATTATGTGTTTTATGCTTAATTGTGTGGCCTAATTGAATTAAGAATAAAAATAAGCGTAAAATAAAATGTTAGACAAGACCTATATCGATACATGAAGACCTAGTGGTCGTTACAAGGTTTCTGAATATATAAA